AAAACGCTCAAGAGACCACTAGAGCTCTGAACAAAGCCCTACAGTGGACACTACATGATTCTTAAATCGCTAAGTTAAAAGAGGTCGATCCTTCTAGGTACTATGAAAATAGGACTTTATCTTTCTCTTCTAGAAACACTCAAGGGGCCACTAAAAATCTTTCAATGAAATCCTTAAGTCGCAACTCTTCAAAGTCAATAAGACCTCTGTGAAAAGAAGCCTGTATCTCAATTTTTTCTTAAAACACTCAAATGACCACTAGAGCTTTTGACAGAGCCCTAAAGTGGGCACTAAATAATTCTTAAGCTGCTAAAAAAAACTCTACAGCAGTTCTAGTTTAAAAAAGTCAATTTTTTTTTAAATCACTTAAAGGACCACTAGAGAACTAACTAAAGGTCTAAAATGGGCACTACATGAATGTTAAACCGCTAACGAAATCCCTACGACAATTCTAGTTAAAAAGGTCCATTCTTCTGAAATCACTCAAGGGACTACTAGACGTCCTCATATAAAACCCTACAGTGGGCACTACATGATTCTTGAACTACATGATTCTTGAATCGCTACATGATTCTTGAATCGCTAAGTTAAAAGAGGTCCACTCTTCTAAAATCACTCAAGGGGCCACTAGAGATCTAAATAAAGCCCTAAAGTTGGCACTACATGATTCTTAAATCGCTAGCAAAAACTCTACAGCAGTTCTATTTTAAAAAAAGGTCCATCTTTCTAAAATCACTTAAGCGACCACTAGGAGCCCTCCAATGAAACCCTAAAATCGCCACTTCTCAAAGCCCATAATTCTTTTTTTTCCGAAAGCGCTAAAGTGGCCTCTAAAGCTCTGAAGAAAGCCCTAGAGTGAGCACTAAATTATTCTTACATCGCTAATAAAAACTCCACAACAAGTTAAAAGAGGTCCACTTTTCTAAGATCACTCAAGGGGCCACTAGAGAACTAACTAAAGCCCTAAAGTGGTCACTACATGAATCTTAAATAGCTAGCTAAAACTCTACAGCAATTACAGTTAAAAGCGGTCCACGCTTCTAAAATCACTCAAGGGGCCACTAGGAGCCCTCCGACAAAACCCTAAAGTGACCAAAGCCAATAAGACCACTCGAGAATGGGCAATTTCGGCGGCGTGTGGTTGCCTAATAATATCGTGGCAATATACACAGGATATCCAAATTGAAAGCCGTTCATTATTAATTCGCGGACAAATTAGGTGGTCACTCTAGGGTTCGTGCTCATTACGCGCATTTCTGCAACGGGAAATTCTCCAGGGAGTGCTACTACCGGTTCGGGGGAACCTACTCGTAAATTCGTCCGTAGTAACTATTATGAGTACGGATATTTATGGCTAATCAACTTGGCTAGGGCTTAAGGAAGGGACTTTGGGAAAAATTTGAAGCATTTTGAAAAAGAATTATAGATAATCAACTGGGTTGACCTAAAAAAAGTCTTTAAAAATTTTTAAATTAAAAAAACCATATTTTCAATCGGTTTCTAGGCCATTTTGAACTGAAATTATTTTTAAAAAAGTTTAAAAAACTTGAAAATTCGTTAAAAAAAACAAGGTGATGTATATTGATAGCTAGTCATCTGGGAGGGCTTAAAAATTGGAAAAAAAAACTTGGAAAAAATCATGAAAATCAGCAAAAAAAATCGTTTTTTTATTTGATTTTGAGCCATTTTGAACTGAAACTATTTTTGGAAAAAGTTCAAATAATGTGAAAATTTGTTCCTAGGAACTATGGAGCGGGTATTCATAGCCAATAAGTTTGCTGACCCAAAATTTAAAAAAATACTGACGAAAAAATGCTCAAAAACTTGTAAAAAAAATTTTTTTTTCCAGCTTTTTCGAGTCGAAATCATGAAAAATGTCCAAAAAACAGCCCTTTTTCCGAGCTAAAAAAAATAACTTTTCAGCCGCTTCACCTGTGGCGAAAGGTTTTCAAAACCCATCAAGAAGATTGAAAAAATGAATGAATATAATACTGAAAAAAAAATCTTCGTACCTCAAACATCCCGGAAAATTCGCTAAAATCCGAAATCCGTGTCCTTCCATCTGCGCTCCATTGATAATGCCGAAATCACAAGAATGCCTCATCTGAAATGAAACTATGAAACCGCGGGATTTTTTTTATACAGGGTGAGCACTAAATATTGAAACAACGGTTTCAGGACTGGCGTACCTATCATACTTGATAAATAAAACTCACTCATAATTATTTAGAGTCTATACGCCTTCGTGAACTTGAAGTCTTAACATTTTTCTAATATCTTGTTTTTTGATCAAACCATGATAAATTGGAACCTACCAATCGGTTGCCCAAAATCAGGTTTTGGCACGCGGCTAACCATCATCTCTAACAACGGCAACTTTTCTTATAAGGGAGCCAACTCTAGGAACCCAAATTATTTTTGTCTTATACTACTAGCGTTACTCTTTATTCTAAATGTGTTTCAGGCTACTCTAGATTTACTTTCATTTTAGAACTGCAAAATAGGCGAAAAAATCTAAGATCAACGATTAATCGCATATTACAGCCCCCTTCTCAAATAATAACAGCCTTGACCCAATTATATATTTTTCAAAGCTGAGACTTTGGGCTTTTGTATAATTTAGTCCTACACTGAATTAGAAAAAATCAAGTTCGAGCAGAGATACAATTCCGTTTAGCATGATTTTGGAAATGAAAAAAACGGTTTTGTTAGCTTTTTTCGGGGAGTGCTCCTATCATTTGTGTTAACGCTCATTGATGGAAATTTCTAAGAAATATTGCGAAAAACCCAAAGTTTAGTTATTGTGTATTTGTTTGAACATGAACGTTCAGATAACTTTTTACCAGTTATAAACATCGAAAAATGACCGAGTGCCGTTGGGGCTTGGGTCCTACACACTTTTCGAGCCAGAGCAGAGCTGAATGAAGATAGGAATTGGAACAGTTTCATGAATTTTGGAATGTACATTCCAGAATTGCCAATGAAACATTTTGGTACGGATCATTCACTTTTCCTCGGAGTTGCGCTTGTTCAAACGTGTTTCAATAATTAGTACTCACCCTGTAATATTATTATGTATTTTCGGGACATCTGAAAACAATGTGAAATTTCAAAATTTTGCTTATTTTTTTCAAGTTTTGGTCACTAATCAAATTAATGCCGTGTTCAAAGTAATTCAAAACAGACGCGTTATTCGTTCGAAATGATTTCATGAAATAGGAATTGGTATTCCGGGAGGGCGTAGAAAAAAAATTCCTACAACGATGTATCGCTAGATATGCATTCTTACTGTAACTTTTACACACGAACTCAAAATTTTGTAGTTTTTTGGGCATTTTTTTTTACAAAAATTCAAATTCGTGCGTATAACTTTCTGTAAAAATGCATAGGGTTGTATAGTCTGTGTTCCACGGCTTGAAATTTCACGGAACGACATTCCGCTGTTCCCCTGCGTGCGGTCGCGAAGCGTCTTTCGAATCTAGGTCACTCTTTCAATTGATTGTTATTGCTGTGGAAGCACATGAAAGTAAAAAACAATCCCGAAATTACTTTGAAAATGGCAAAAACTTCTTCCAATTCCTCAACTTGTCCAGCTTCCTATTGTTTCCGGATGCCTTATGAGGGAAGAAGAGAGACAATCAAGGAGGATCCGTGGGGCCAACAATCAAAGCAGCTGGAGAGAACCCTGGAATTATCGTTCCGTTCACGGTGGTTGCGCCACATCCCGTCGTATTAGCCGACTTGATTAAGAAACGAAAAGAAAGCGATCGAAAGATTGATAGAAAATAACAAGGGATCTTCAAATGACTGGGAAAAGGTCCTTTTCTGTGGAATTACAGAGAAAAGTTTGATTTAAAGGCGGTTTTGAAAAAGCGCGAAAAACATGACTTGAAAAAGCTGAGTCTGATTCTCAGGCGTCTGGAGATCATTACTGTAAATGGAAGGAGAAAAAATTCGAGATCTCGGTAAAAGGATAATTATCATCACGGAAATGTTTTACGCCAAATACTTCAAAATTCTATCAAAAATTAAAAATTGAAGTTGTCAAGAGAAATAAGCTTTAAAAACCATAACGGAAAGCATTTAAAATCAATTCAAATAAATAAAGCAAAAAAAGACGAAGAAAAACGGTGGCTAAAGTTCGTAGAGCACAATTGCCGCGAAAAACTTATTTGGCGCGAATAATTTTTTACCCGCTTATTTCACTCAAAACAGTACAGAATTTTTGTATGAATCCAAAAAAGTGATCCGAAGAAAATGACTTTTGGAAGCTTAAATCAATAAAATTATTTTAGACAGTGAAAGAAAAGTTGGAAAGAAATAATGTTTCTTCAAAAATTTCGGAAATAAAAATTACGGTAGCCGAAAGATACGTAACCTTATCGGTGTCTGCACTTCGAGTATCAAATTTTACGCGCGTTCTGCTTTTTTTTCAAAAAGATCAAATTTTTGAAAATCCTGAAAATATTTTCACACAAATATGGACGAACCCACAATACTTTCATGTTCATCTTTCATTGGAAAAATGAAAAAGCGGTAAAAACTGTTTACTTCCTCACACTCATGAAAACGAAGAACTGCAAGGAATCTGCAAATTTTCTGAAAAAAAGGATAAAAATCCGAATAAATTATTACAAAGAAGAAGAAGCGTCTCGAAGAAATGATTTTCATGAGAATTTCGAGCTAAACTACGAAAAGCATATAAGAAAAATGGATCTCTAACTGATGAATAAGTGAAGGAGAAGCTCAACGAAAAGAAAAAAAAATGATCAAAAAAGGCACGAAGCTAAAAGAAAAATCGTAGAATACATAAAATAAATGGAAGAAACCCGGGATCCAAACATCTATCATGAAAACAGGAAAACTGAAATAAAATGCTTCAAATTGAACAGCAAAAAACCCTTATTTGATCGTTCTAAAATGGCGGGAAAGGAGAATTTTGAATGGAGAGTTATAAACTAATTTTGAAAAATCAAAGGAAGATAAAACTGATGAAAAATTCAAATTTGGGTCAACTGAAATCTTGGCGCGATGCCATTGAACGGCTGTAGTGCAATCTTGTCCGCGTCGACGGTGATTTTCTGGAAATTTCAGCTTTGAAACAGATTAAAAATATATTTTTCCATTTCGAAGCTTTTCAATGTTTAGTCTTGACTAGAGAGCTGAAATTGTGTTTTAAAACTACAAAATTAAGATTGATTCTGAAATAAGTAGAAAAAAGTTACTGTGAAAGTATATAAAGACTAAACTTTGAACTTTCACTGACTACAGTAACCCACAAAAAAAACTATTGTAATTCAAAAAAATAGAGAAAAACTGGAGAACTAGAAACTATCACTACATTCCATAGAAAAATGAATCTGTGGGAAACTACAGTAACCCAAGAAGCCACAGTATTCCTCAGTGCCCTTGAAAATTATTTCTGTTCATTTTTGAAGTTAATTTTGTCTTTAAATCTCGAAGTAGAACCTTAAAAATTGAAAAGCTGACAATCCTTTTAAACTACAGTAACATCGAAAAAAAAGCTACGTAATCCTCAGAATGAATAATTTTATCCCAGAATTTCACACCAATAAAGTCTTAATGTCATTCTTAAATTCTGAAAATCGGAAAAAAAACTACAGTAATCCGAAAAATCTACCGTAACCTTAGCAAACAAATTTACTTTCTTAACTCATTCTAAGCTTATCAGAAGCTCTAAAAACATTTTTAACAGACTACCGTAACCCAAAAAAAAAAATCAACCGTAGCCCAGTAATATATTTACTTTTTGAATTCATCTCATGTCCATCAGAAGCTCTAAAAACATTTTTAAAAGACTACAATAACCGAAAAAAAAAAAAATCTACCATAACCCCAGCAATATTTTTACTTTCTGAACTCGCTCTATGTTCATCATAAGTTCTAAACAACAAAAAAAAAGCTACAGAAACCCTGAAAATAAAGCTATCGTAACCTTAGTCCTAATTTTACATTCTGGCTTCATTTTGTTCCCGCAGAAGCTCTAAAAATCAGAAAAAACTACAGTAACCTGCTAAAAACGTACCGTAATCTCATCTTCATCCTCCTCCTTCAGGACAGGGTCCGACGAGGATTTTTTATAATTCCCATTGATGGACGGGGACAAATTCCCGTGGTTGTGTGTGTGGGCTTCGACCGGCGACGGGGCCCTTCAAAATTATCGATCTATTGATTGATTATCGATTTTTCGGACCTTTGGGGAGTACTGGCGCCTGAAGAACTCAACAAAGCCCGTTTTTGCTCCCTTTCCACGATGAAAACGTTGCGCCGCCGTTCTTCCTCGCCGATTCTGCATCACTTTTTGAAATCTTTCTCCTTTTTTCTTGCAAAACCTATCATAGATGACGCCGTCGACGCCAAGTTCCTTCTTGAAATAATTGATATTTTCTTTTTTGTCGAGGTCCTCGCCCCAGACGAACGTCACCAGGCCGAGTTCATTGGCTCTTTTGACGGGAAGGGGATCTTTCAGCAGATCTTCCGAATTGAAATTGACTCCCTGAACATTTTTGACTTCAAAAAAGTAAGGATTTTCTTTTTTTATAAAGCTAAAAGCTTCAAAATCTTCTTAAACTTCAATGGCCTGATTTTATGGGTCGCAAAAGGAATGATTGAAAGGCGTTGCAGTCGCGTCGCGGCTAGAAATTCATCTTTTTTTCCAATTCGCTCAGAAAACTACCAAAGCGCGCAAGCCGTTTCAAGTCGGGAGCAAGATCAAACAACTACAGAGCCTTCCGAGATCAATTTTCAACAGGATGAGAACAAAAAATGCAAAAATTTTTGAAACGGGATTTTTCTATATAGGAAAAACTACAAGGACTCCAAACTCTTCGAAAATTCGTAAAAAAAAAATATTGAAACTTTGCTTGAAAACGCAAAATATGGGTAATAACGAATTATCTTAAAATTGCTCAAAATTGAAATCTCAAGCTTATTCTATACCAAGACGCGCAAGCTTTTTGCAGTCGGGCGCAGAAAAAACACATAAAATTGATGACGAAACTTCATTTTTCAACCGCTACACATAGTGAACCATTTTCAATGCGGCCATAAATCAACTTTTCTCGCCCCTCACAACTTACCAAAAGATCGGCTCCAGCAGCGAAATTCACGGCCGTCATTGATGTTGACGTTCTTTGGTCCTAGAAAAACCCAATTTTTTTTTTCATTATTTTTGAATTAAATTTACCTGGAAAGGTGTGTAACGTTGGGTATCTCCAACGCAGAGGAAGAAAACTGGATATTTATTTTGTTTTGTAGCCACCCTGAAAAAAGGTTTCTTAAAAATCATAATAGTATAACTTCACGTAAACTTCAAGAAAAAGTATTCAAACCCTTTATTTTCGAAAAAAAGTCCCCATCATTTTTGAAAAAAAAAAATTTTTCTGGGTTTTATTAAAGATAATCTTTTAAAAGAGTATAAATTTTTCTTGTATATTCGTAAAAAAATTAAATTTTCAAGGTATATGAAGTACGAAAAAGGTTCTAAAAAAGTGACTTTCAGTTTTTCGAAGATACTGAAGCAAATCGCATAAGCCCATATTATTTTTTTATTTTTTTAATGAAATTTCTGAAACAGAAAGTTAGGAGAAACTCAAATTTCAACTCGATGTTCGAAAAAAACTGTTTTTTTAAGGCCCACAATTGCCAAATATCAATAAAGCCAAGAAGTTTTCTTGTTCTCGACTTGAAACGGCAAAGTGCTTTTTCACGTGCGGTTTTGGCGCCAATTCAAAATTTTTGCGCACTGTGCAGATTTTTATCAAGTTTCCTGTTCATGAAAATACTATTCTTCTAAAATATCTTTCGAAAAAGTGCCTTATTGACGAAATGAAAATAATTTTCATATAAAAATTGGGTTAGACAATAAACTTTTCAAAATTGAACTATATTTCTCTTTAGGATACCTAAAACAAAAAATACTAAAAGCTTTGTTTTCTAGCCCCTCTAGGGACCACTATTTGGTCCCCTATAAAGGTTTTTTTTCTTTTCTTATTCCTCTAGGGATCAGTATTTGGTTCCCTATAACGGTTTTTTTTTCCTAATCCCTCTAGAGACCACCAAATTTTTCCCCCTAAGAGATGTGTTTTTTAACCCCTCTAGGGCCCACTATTTGGTCCCCTATAAAGGTTTTTTTCTCTTCTTATCCCTCTAGGGACCACCAAAATTTTCCCACTAAGAGATGTTTTTTTCTAATCCTCTCGCCCACTATTGGGTCCCCTTAAAATCCGTTCTTTTTTCTCACCCCTCTAGGGAACACTATAATGTCCCTAAAATGGTTGCTTTTTCTCCTGACCCCTCAAAGGGTCGACTTTTGGTCCCATTTTTTCCACTCACAAGGAGCAGATATCCGGATCGAAGCTGCTGAACATGATCCTCCTGTTGCCGGCGTTGTTCAGAACGTCGGCCAGGATAATGTCGACGAACTCGTTTCGCTCAAAATAATGATCACATTCGTGTTCCCCATTCTGAAACCATCAGAATCAACTTTTAAAAATCGATAAATATTTCCAACATTTTGCATCATGGGATACTTGACTTCCACGTTGAAACCGACGTCGGGATCAACCTTAAAATATTTTTTTTTGGTTTTTTCTTCTGGTTCCAAAATACCTTCACTAAAGCTTCCATGAGCGTTGGAAAAGGCTTGAAATCTTCCTCCTCCTCGCCCCTTTCCACCAATTTCTTCACGTTGTCCTTCTTTTGGGGGAAAGCCAGGTGGTCCAGCTGGAAATTGGAACAGTTAGGAAGAAATTTAATAAATGACGAGCATTATAAAAAAACTTTTTTTGAGCTTGAATAAGAAAAATTTTTTTAAAAAAAGTTTTAAAAAAATCCGCCATTCTTGAAAGGAAAAAGTTAGTGAAAAAGTAACTTTATGAGAGGAATAACTAGAAAAAAAGAAGTACAGAAATATTAACTGTCTTCTGAAAGGCTGATGGTCTAGCTAAAGATTAGAACTGTTAAAAAACATTACTTCGAAAGAAAAACCGAAAATTAGCCTTCTTGAAGAAGAAAACTTGACAGAAATGTTTAAAAAAGCGAAATTTCACAATATTTGTACGTTTTTTTCGAATAAATTTAGAAAAAATTCTGCTTTGATTGCCACAAATCCACTGAAAAACTGTCCCAAGAACTTTGAGTCATAAAATTAAATATTTTATAACATTTCATAGAAAAATAAGTCCAGAAAAATCGAAATTATTAACACGTAAGCACAAATTTTGTATTGAGATTTTTTTGTATTCAAGCTCGAATTTCACATAAAATTCATAATTTTTTTAAAAAATTGTCCGTAGAGCGCACTTGACGCAGTTTTTCGATGTTTTTTTCTCAGATTTTAATCTGATCAAAAAAAGTTTGGTTTTATTGAACTTTCTGCCCCCATTTTTTTGAACAGTCATTACTGAATTTTCAAATGAAACAATTCAAAAAGCGTTACAAAAAAATGTAATTTTGTCAAAATCTATCTCTTCCTGACGGTAAAGTACGTATAAAGCTACTTTTAAAGCTGATTTTTCCTCTTTTTTAACCTCAATTTCGCATGTAACCCTTCAATAAGCTTCCCAGAACTCGAGATTTTTCAAAAATATATTTTCTTTCTACCTGTAAAGTACCGCTTTTGAAGCTTATTTTACATTTTTCTATTTGCGATGTCAAAAAAACCACTGCAAAAAGTTGATTTTTCGTTTTATTAACCCAGTTTTCACATAATTTACAAAAAAAGGCTCTCAAAAATAGGAATTTCTACTAATATTGTCTCTTTCCACCCATAAACTACCATCAAATCCCTTTCAAAGTTTTTATCCCTTTTATTCCCAATTTTGACCCCTTACCATGAGCAATTTCATCTGCGAGAGCTTCAGATCCTTCACGGGAAGCTCGTGGAAGTCCAAAGAGCCGTCATAGGATTCATTTCCGGAGGCCAATTTCGTCAGATCCGAGCTCGATAATCCCCGTCGGGCCACGGAAACGAGCACGTGGAAATCGTGGTAAATTATGGCGACCTGTAAACATTTTTTGAATGATTTTTTTCATCATCAGGACAATTGAAGAATCTTCACACCATATAATATTTTTTTTATCGGTTTGGAATGAAATTTTCTTTTTGAAGATTCATTAAAAAAATTATTGACGGAATTTTTAATTTTTTTGACGATTTACGTGGTGTTTATGACCAATTCGGTCAAGTTATTAGCGAAAAAAACTGAAAAAAAGACGTTTTTTTCTAGTCCTGTTCTGGAAACGCCTTTATTAGTGTAATTAAAAAAATATTTAAATCTTTTTTTGGATTTCATAGTGCGAATATTACGAATTGACGTCTTCTGACGTATTTAAAGGTTCCTTGAAACAGTGTTGAGTTTTGAAGAAAATTGTTTTTTTTCATAATAACGGCTACGTGATGTTCAGGACAAGTTCGGTCGAGTTTCTAGTGACCAAATAAATTTTTTTGTTGCTACCTTTTATTCCGTTTGCTCAAAAAAACTCTTTTTGCAAGGGGAAAAAAGTTTCTCTTTGGGGGGATATCTGCTCCTTGTCAGTGGAAAAAAAGGATTTTTGAAGAAAAAATGGGACCAAAAGACGACTTTATAGCTTAGCGGTCCCCCGAGGGGTCAGGAAAAAAAGCAACCATTTTAGGGACATTTTAGTGGTCCCTAGAGGGTTTGAAAGCGCATCTCCTATGGGGAACAGTTGAGGGGTCCATAGAAGGATTAGGGGAAAAAAACCTTTCTAGGGGAATAAATAGTGGTCCCTGATGAAGGTGGCGGAAAAACCCCTATAGGGGGAAAAAATAGAGGGGTTGAATAAAAGAAAAAATTCCTTATGTGGGACAAACTAATGGCCCCTAGAGAGGTGAGAGAAAAACCCCTATAGTAGACAAATTACTGCTCCCTACGGGGCTGAATTTTAGGTGGTCCCTTTAGGAGCTAAAATCCACTCAGAGGAAAAAAGTTTCTCTTTGGCTTTCATTGCTCTGGAAACGCCCTTATTAGTGTAATCAAAAATCTTTAGATCAGTTTTTTAGATCATTGATAGCAGTATCACGAATTGATCACTCCTGAGGCAGTTAAAGATTCCGTGAAACAGTGTTGAAAGGTTTAAGAAAAATTTCTTTTTTCAAGTAATCATTTTTTGAATGATAAAATCTGTGGCGCTCAAGGCACATTCAGTCAAATGATTGACGAAAAAATGAAGTTTTTGATTCGAAAAAATCGGAAAAAAACGTTCTCGCTAGAAATAAATTAGATACATCATTTTCCCGACGTGTTCAAAGATTCCTCGGAACTTATTCTGAACAGTTTTGAAGAAAAATAATTTTTTTCATTTAAAGTGATCATTTTTTTATAATAAATCAAGGCACATTCGGTCAATTATAAGCCAAAAAAAGACATTTTTTTCCCTCAGAAAAAAATAAAAAAATTTTTGTCAACTTTTTTTGCTTTCCTCGTCTAAAAATGCCCTTTTTTTGTGAAATCAAAAAAATATTTTTCAGTTACAGTTTATTTTTTTCAAAATTTAAAAATTCAAAAAAATCACTAAGAGATAGATATTTGATAGCGTATTTAAAGATTCGGTGAAACAGTTTTAAAGAGAAAAACATTATTTTTTTCAAAATAAAGTTTATATGGTGTTCAGGACACATGAAGTTGCGTTTCCAGCGAAAAAAATATATATTTACTTCAAAAAAATTCGAAAAACCCTTTTTTTGACCACTTTTAGCTAGCCTTGTTCTAAAATGGCCATTTTGTGTGATTTAAAAAAAGTTCTCAGCTCAATTTTTTTGAAATCGAAGTTTTTGAATAACACGAGAAAAAGTTGGCTTTTATTTATTAACAAGAAAAAAATTGCTTCAGTTTTTTTCAAGGAATTTCCTTTTTTTGTGAAATAAAAAAATCTGTTCAGTTATAGCAATTTTTTTCAAAGATTTAAAATTAAAAAAACCCCCCGTGAGGCAAAAATGAAAAATTCTTTTTGAAAAAAATTTGAAGATTCCCTGAAACTGTTTTAAAGAAGAAAAAAAATGTTTCTTTTTTTAATATAGACTATATGGCGTTCAGGACACATACAGTTGCGTTTCCCGCAAAAAAAAAATTTTTGCCTATAAATATTACTTTTTTTTTGTCTTTTTTGCTCGCCAGAGTGTCCCTTTCCATGTTAAATTTATCAAATACGACTCAATTTTTTGAAATTCAAGACAGAGCAGAAAGACGAACGAACAAATTGATCACTCTCCTGATCAATTTAAAGATTCCGTGAAACGTATTTCGAAAAGTTTTCGAGAAAAAAGTCCATTTTGATTATTTCGACACTACTTTTTCACCTTGTCTTTCGTGAGCTGGACGTCGAATTCCACATAATCGGCGCCATTTTTCGCCGCCGTATTCAGTGAGTGGATGGTGTTTTCGCGCGCCATCGCGAATTTCGTGTAGGAATTGCCGGCGCCGCGGTGGCCGACCTCCAAAGCGTTACGCTTTTTCCAGTGTCGGCAATAGGACGTCTGCAAATTTTTCAAATTCAGTTAGAAATATTTTGAGTCAAAAAAAAATGTTTTTAGTTAGAGAAAAGTTCATTTTCATAAGAAAACTTCTATTTTTTAGTTCAAAATCCAGTTAGAAAATTTTTATTTCACCCTAAAAAGTCCTATTTTCAATTTGAAAAAGTTTTTTTGAACAAAAACTTTTTTTTCTGAAATGAAATTATTTTATAACCTAAAAAAACGGCAGAGTGGTCCCTACAGGGGTCAAGAAAAAAACCCCCTACAAATGAAAAAAAGTGGACTCTATAGGGGTTGAATTTAAGTAGTCCTTATAGTGATTTAGAGTCTGTCCCCGAGCCCCTGAAGCTTAAATAGTCCCTATAGTAGTTTAAAGTCTGTCCTCTAAGCCCTTGAAGCTCAAGTGGTCCCTATAGTGGTAGAATTTAGGTGGTCCCTATAGTGGTTAGAGATCTGACCCATAAGCCCCTGAAGCTTAAGTGGCCCCTATAGTGGTTTAAGATCTGCCCTCGTAAGCCCCTGAAACTGAAGTGGTCCCTACAGGGGTAGATATTGGGTGGTCCCTAGAGGGGCTTGAAGTCCATCCCCTGAGCTTCTGAAGCTCAAGTGGTCCCTATAGGGATAGAATTTAGGTGGTCCATATAGTGATTTAGGGTCTGTCCCCGAAGCTCAAGTGGTCCCTATAGGGGTTTTCTTGATTTTCTTTGTTCAGATTCGAAAATTGAAAATACTTAATTAACAAAACTTGATTGATTAATCCTCTATCGATGTTTTTCGATCAAATACTCTAGTTTTCTGAGTTTTTGAATGAAAAGTGGTCTCTAGAGGTGAGCCTTCAAGGGCTTTTAAGGTTGCCCCTATAGGGTCCACTCTGGGGTTACTAAAAACTCCCCTTTTCTGTTGAAAATGATAATTTTGAGTAATAACCATTTTGAGACCTTTAAGCTTTTCTCCATCTTTTTTTCATTCAATCACCTCCATGGACTGATAAGGAATGGGCTTGTTCAACGCCCTGACGAACAAATATTCCAGGGAGATCTGTCCGATAGGCCTTCCGGTCGAGTTGATGAACGGAAGTTGGCTGATTCCGGCCGTGTCGGCAAGGGAGGACGGGAGGGCGTAGCAGGCGCCGATTCGCTTCTTCTCCTCGGAGAATACTTCGATGTAAAAGGCCTGGAAGATGAAAATATATCTCCACGTCTGAAATTTGAAAATACGTCATTTAGAAGGCCTAAATTATGAACGTTATTAGATATTTCTTAAAGTCGCAAATAAAGAAATTAGCACTTTCTTAAGGCCTAAAATATGGATAACAGTAACTTACAAAACCTTAAATATTAGAAGGTCTTTTACAAGCCCTTAAATACGAAAATTAATCATTTCTCAAAGTCTTAAGTACAAAAAAGGTCATTTAAAAAGCATTGAAAACGAAAATTAGTCCTTATTCAAGGCCTGAAGAACGAAAATAAGCCTCAATACCTAAAGTATGAAATTACGTCATTAAGAAGGCCTACGCCTAAAAACATTATTGGATATTACTTAAAGCTTCAAACAAAAAAATTAGTCCTTTTTAAAAAAAAATGAGTAAAACGTCACTCAGAATGCCTCAAAAAACGAAAATAGTTCATTGAGAAGGCCTGAAATCTTAAAATAAGTTTCAAGGCCTGACTACTGCGTTCTCAAGGCTTGAAATATGAGAATAAGAAATTTCTTAAGGCCTCAAGGCAAAAATTTAGCCATTAACAAGATCTTAAACCCGAAAAAAGCCTATTAAAAGGCCCCAAAAACCAAAATTACTCCGTGACAAAATTTTGGATCTGCAATCAGGGGGTCCTAAAGTACACTTCAGCAAAGTTTCAGCGAAATTTTAACCGGGGGGAGGGAGGGTATAAAACGTCAGCTGAAAAAAATATAATTTTACCAAGAACTCGACGGCGACCGAATGTGTCCGGAAAAACGACGTAGTCCTTGTTGTTGTTGAAAAACGACGCCCGTTTCGTCTTGTCGATGATATTTCGGCTTGGGGTCGGACAAAATCTGCAATAGATTTTTTTATATAAACGAAATTTTTTTATATAGACAAATTTTTTTATAGACAAAAATCTGAAATAGATTTTTTTATATGGAGAAATATAGATAAATAAATATTAGAAAAAAATTTTTAAAATTTACTTTTTTTCTAAAAATTTTTTTGCCTAATTCCCTTTCAAAAATGCTTCTGAGAACTCATAGAACTGCTTTTAAAACGTACAAAAAAATCCAAAAAAACTCTAGAAAAATCTCATTTTTTTGTCCATTTTGGAATGTTAAACCCTTCAATTTATCATTTTTTTAAAAAAACTGTGCAATCTGAAAAATTTACAAAGTTATCCCAGAAAAATTTACAAAGTTATCCCATTTGAAGAAAAAAATATATAAATCTTGAAATCTGTGTGAACTAATATTTGATATAAATTCTCCAAAAATCAAAAAAAGCGGGAAACTTCTTTATAAACCATTTTATTCAAGGCTTTCCCTTACTTTGCCCAATTTTCAAGTTTTTTGGCCGATTTTATTGGTTTTAAAACATTAAAAAATGTACTGAATTCATAAAATTTGTCCGGAACCCTATAAAATTCAAAAACGAACCGCCACATCGGTGGTGGAATGCGTGGGCAGTGCACACGGGGCCGCATTCGAATCCTCGTCTTCTTCTTCCTCGTCTTCGCCGCTGTTGAAGCTGATCCGAGCACCAGAGGCTTGCTGAAAAATGTACTAGATTATTCGAAAAAGTTCATATATTTCTTCTAAACCTTCAAGATTAAAAATTTCCAATTAAATGAAGTTATTTAGTTTTTCTTCAAAGCTCTACGGCATATCAAACTTCGATGGTAGGAAGGAATTGGGGGTTCCCGAATATTCGTGAGCGTTAATTGTGCATACACCAATCTTGGAGGCTCGAATCTTTGAAAATTTGAATCTTTGCAAACGATTCTTGGGAATATTCACTTCTTTTCCGATTTTTTTATAATTTTTTTCCAATGTTTTTTTGTTAACAGAAGTTGATGGCGAATATATACAGAGTGAATGAAAATGTGGTAGCAGTTCTGCAGCGAATATTTGACTACGTGTATGCGAGAAAGACGCATTATTTGCTAAAAAGTTAGTTGAAAAAAATCATACAGTGTTCATTTGTGGTCGAAACACGGCATCTTCACAATAAAACGACAAAGGAAAAAAATGTAGGAAAAAAGAAGGAAATTCAAAAAAGAGGGAAATATTCCCAAGAATCGTTTGCAAAGATTCAAATTTTCAAAGATTCGAGCCTACAAGATTGGTGTATGCCCAATTAACGCTCCCGAATATTCGGTAACCCAAAATTCCTTCCTATCATCCAAACTTCCAGTGCATTTTTACCCATTTTTCTTTATTTTAAAAGAAAATGGATCATTATTGCTTCAGATGTTTCTCAAGTAAATGAAACAAGAAAAAAGAATCAAACTATGAATTTCAAAGTGGTCCCTAGAGTTGCAACCTTAGGGTTTCCTGTAGGTTCCCCTCAAGGGACCCCTTATTTCTTCATACAAACTGAACAAGGAGAGGAAATAGATTTTAAATATTTTCTTCAAAACATCTTTCTATTCAAATTTCTATCCCTAAACTTGGGAAAAAAATTTAAAAAAATTTAAAAAAATCCTTTGCAAAAAAACTCACATTATAAAACTGTAAATATTCAAAAACGTCAAAAAAACCTTAATTTTTTTCGAATTTTCTATACTTCAACTAAAAATATTCCGTTTCAGTTTATTATCTCACAATTGGATTTTAAAAAAAATTTTTGCGTTTTTTTGAAGATTTTTTTCTGAAATTTTATTCTGATTCAAAAAAAGAAAAAGAACACGTTTTTTTCAGACTTCATTACACTCGATCAATAAAAAACCTTTTATTTTCATTTCTCACCTTATTCCTGACGTCCAGTGGGGTGAACTTGACGCGACAATTTTTCCTTTCCTTGGAAGTTTTGTAGAACTTCAAGGCGTTTCCGTGAAGGCGAAGGAGGATTTGATTTTCTTCGGCGTATTGAAGCCAACCCTCCGATATGCATTTCCGGCCGGCTGAAATTGATTTTTGATGATGGAAATATGAAGATTCTCGTGTTAAATTCATGGTTTCACAGAAAAAAAGCTCAAAAATTGATCAAAACTAGAAGAAAACTTGAAAACTTTGCTCTAACGATTTTTTTTTTAGTTTCTTTGAAAAACTAGCACTTCTGGAAGTTTTCTCGGAAGCGAAAAAAATCGATTGAAATAATCAAAATAACTAAAATTTACAATAAGGTGAAGCTAATTGAAACGGTAAACTGAACAGAAAAAAAGGGCATATTTTTTTGAAAAAAACCGAAAAATCCTCAAGAATGGCTTAATTTACCGAAAAAAACCGAGAAAAAAACGAGAAATTCATGATTTCCTTCAACTATATAATTAAAAAACCGATTTCTTCACAATTTTTTTGATCGAGAAACTGACCATAATAACCGAAAAGATCGACATGATTCACTCGACATTGGCCGTCGCGATTTTCGACATTGCAAAGGACGGATCTCGGGTAGAGAAAAAGCTTCCCATTTGTCTGGAAAATTTGAAGAATACAAAGAAAAACATGAAAAAAAGCCTTTCACAAGCGGATTATGAAAATCTAATTTTCATTCATTTTTTTAATTTTTTTAAAAAAATTCAACAGCTCTACGCGAACAAATTTACAAGCAGTTTCCAAAAATATCTACTTATTACTATCAATTGCGAACCTTGAAAAACTTGAAAAAAACGTTGTATTTTTTTCATTAATTTAATCTTTACTATCTTTTTAAAAATAGATCCAATCAAAGTAAAAAAATCCCAAAAAAAGCTCATTTTAATCGATTCTCCTCTCTGATATTTGATATTGAAAAGATCAAATTGCATATTTGAATAGTAAAAATACAGAAAAATATACAAGGACCCAAGAAAAAAATCAAAAAGGACAAGTTAAAAAAACCAAAAAAACAAAACACAACATTTTATTAATCACAAACAACAAAATAACTACAAATTCACCAATAATCAGCCGTTCTCCAGTCTCGGACATCAACATGTAGCCGATAAAATAGCGAAATTTGACCGATTCATCCGTCGTGTCAATGAAACCGCGGTATCGGTTTCTGGAAAATGAAATATTATTTTTAGTTTTCATGAAAAATCGAACTTCTATAATGAAAAGGCGCTTTTTTCTCTATTTTTTAATGTTTTCTCCACTTTTATACATATTTTCTTCATTGAAGTTTTTGTTGACAGCTGTCAAAAATTGAACTATAAAAAAATGTACCAAAATCTCGGTTACCAATCAAAAAAATTATAAGAAATCAAATGAAGCCAAGAAAAAAATAATTTTTAGAAAATCCTGGAAAAACTTGATTTATAGCTGAAATAGAAATTTTTCCTTTTCAAATCAGATTTTTTTAAAAAAATCAGATCAACAAATCCCTTCACAAAAAAAACTTTTCGAAAAGTAAAAATCAAAATTTTCTTTCTAACCTTTCCTAAAGCTACTTTCACACGAAAATGGAGTGATCCCTCGAAAAAAAAACCACGAAAATCGTTCTTCTTCATCGAGAATATACTGACGGTCTTTCCGCGTCGGGAACCAACGGAACGGCGTTTTGGGGCTTCCAGAGACCGAGGCTCGCCGAACTTCCCGTCACGTACACCGTGTAATTGGTGTAGACGTTTTCGACGTCGATTGCGAAGTGAACGCGCATCGTGCGCGCCACCGACATCACTGAAAATCGTTCATCTTGAATTTCAAAAATTATGCTGTGTTCAATTTGATTCCGCGAAATGCAAAATACCCGTTAGAGAAAGGAAAATAACACTAAATTTTGGAGAGTCAGAGATCATTTTGCATTTCGCGGAATCAAATTGAACACGGCATTAAGAAAAATCGAAACGAAGGTTATTTCAAGAGTTCCGCGCAGATCTTCGGTTCATCTCAAGAAGCGATGAAAATAGATAAGTTTTCGAAGAAAAAATGGTAGAAGAAAAGAGTAAAGCTGGTTTTGAAACATTTTAAAACATTTTTCTATGGCGTGTTCATCGGACAAAACAAAAATTGCTTCGAAACGCAAGAAAATTGCTTCAAAACAAAAATTAGTACTGTTTTGGAGCAACTTCGGCGCGCCGATGAACACGATTTTTCGTTTTGAAGCGTGTTTCGTTTCTCCGATGAACACGCCACTAGGAAATTCCGATGCGGAAAACCGATTTTCATGAAACTTCGAAACTTCTTTTCAGCGAATAAAATTGAATTGATTTTTCCCTTTTAGAAAACAATTGAAAAGGGGATGCTGCAGAATTTTCTTAATATTAAGATTTGTGGGAAATATCCATGAAAATTCGGACAAGTAGCGCTTTTTTTCCAGCATGAATCCAACACAGAAAAAAACATTCTGAATATTGAACTACTATCACAATTTAAAAAAACTAGCATTAAAAAAATAGTAAGATTTTTTTCAAACTTGATTTGAAAGCGTAGTTTCTAAAAAAATTCAACAAATATATATAGTTGAATAAATGAACAATAAAACCATACTTTACTTTAAAAATACCTTTTTACATATACTGAACTAATATTCAATTGAATATTCCTTTGGATTGATAGAAAAACTTCAAAATAGTGAAGCGAAAGGAAACTTGAAAAAAATGCTCTCTCGGCAACTTTTATTGAGGAAATATGAGCCCTTCGGATGAAATTTTGATGAAAATTTCTCAAATTCAACAAGAAGAGGGACAAAAAAGGTTGATCGAATTCGTGAATTCCAAACTTTGTTTATAAAAAAAAGGATGTAAAGTTCAAGAAGAACCATGTCTCGAAATTGAAAGCAGTAAACTTTTTTTCAATCAAAGGGTTGATTTACAGTCATTTTCACGGATTTGCGAAAAAAAGCGAAAAAATCGGAACCAAACCAGTTCGAAATCTCTCAAACTAGCCAAAACACAACAATGACCATGAAATTCGATACGGGAGTTGTTATATGATTCAAGGCACGAGGCTTGTGGGGAAGAAGAGGAAATAAACTCAGCTGGCGAATCGCCAAATCGATTCCAAGTGTGTGTGCAGCGAAAGGGAGAGCGGCTTCGAAATGAAAGCTCTGTCCTTTTTTATTGTTTGATTTGAGCAATCGGCGATCGGAATGAATTTTTTTTTTTGGGTGTTGTGGACATTCATAATGGAATTCTACACTCATTTTTATGAAAAAAGTTATGAAAATCGTTATGATTGAGGGCTCCACAGAGAAAAGAATGTATCAAAAGGCAAAATTTGCTCCGAAAGAGCCCATTTTTAATCTATTTCGGAACAGATTTTTTTTTTTCCGTAAGATAAATTGAAAAGAAGGAGTTACCTAGCTTGAAAAAAAGACTGGATTGAGTTGCGAATAAACTCAATTATTATTCAAAAATATTCAAAGTCCGTTCAGGAACGATTTTAAAGTCATTCAAAGTCGCGTAAGACCTCGTGTATCACTATAGTCTGTCCAGATTTTAAATTTCAAGCAGCTATTTCTACCATATATAGAAAATCTCTTCATCAGGGTCATTCCATCAAATGCGCGACTTCAATTTCTCAAAAAACGTTCCTGTAAACACTATCAATATTCAAAAAGGCCTATGCCGTGTTCAAAAATATTCCACGAAATTCAAAATAACCGTCAGAGAGCAAAAAGGGAAATAAATTTTGGAGTCAGGCATAGTTTTGACTTCGAAAACGGCATCATAAATTCACTTATTTTACGCCATGGCAACTGAGGAAAAAATCTGGAAGTAGTTTAGAAAATTTAGGAAGCGTATTGAGTAGAAGTATTAGAAAACTTGGTTTAAAAAAACTTTTCTTCAAGTTCTACAATGAAAAAAGAGAAAAGAAGGTTTGAAGGAATTTCAAAAACTAATTGGAAGCTGATACATACTAAAAACAGAAACAGCTCTTTAAAAAGTTATAAAATAAAATCAAAACTCGAAATTGACCATTTTTTCAAGTTCTATTCAGAAAAGAGTGCAAAAACGACAATACAAAGGCCAAAATTTAACTTGTCGACAGTTTCTCATGATTTTATACGTGACATTCAACCCGTGTTGCGAAAAATCTTAATCATTCCGAAATCCTTGACCTCGGGATCGTCAAAATCAACAGAAAAAAATTTCGTCTCAATGGGATCTCAGTAAATAAGAATCCAAAATTTCTTCAATCATAAAACTTTCTTTAAGAGGACACTTTAAAATTGTCAAAGATTCCTTTTTCGATGAGGAAAAAAGCTGAAAACGAAGAATACCCCTTCTTGAGCCATCAATATTCAATAAACCAATGAGAATACATTCCAAAGATTCGAAATTCAACACCAACGCACGGAATAAAACCCATCATTTATTAAATTTACATTACAAAAGCGTGCTATTAAAAAGCTTGAATACATTACGAATCGAGTGGAATCGAGGAAGGACACGTATATTTCTGAGGGTTGGCGGGGGACGTCTACATTCGGGCCGAGCGGATGATTTCGAAGATGGCCGAGCCGACGACGACGAAAACGAAGAGGCCGATGAGCCACGGCGCCACCGGATACTTGTCCTCCGAGGGCTTCAGAGACTTGGCGACCTTGCCGCGCTGGGTGATGTTCTTGTTGAACTGCTCGTTGGCGGTCGCCATTCGCTTCTTCGGGGCCATTTTTTCGGTTGGTTTCTGAGTTATTTAACCTGAAAATTCAGCTTAAAATAGATAAATTATTAAAAGGTTAGAACAAGAATCACGCGAGGACAAAGTTAGGCGAACTTGTTAGAAAGTCATAATTCATTCTAATTGCGGAAACTTTCCTGAAATCCAAAAAAGATTTTCGCAAAATTGAGGCGCGCTCATCGAACAAAATAAGGGAACTTATTTCGAAACAAAACTTTTTCCGGTTTCGGAGCATATTTAGCGCGCCAATGAGCACTTTTTTGCATTTTGAAAAGTTTCCCGTTTCTCGGTTTGAAAAGCTATCATCATTTATTTTATTCAAAAAAAATTTGAATGAATTTTTGAAAAGAAAATATTGAAAAATGGTGCAAAACGACTGATATTTTCTTTCTCCAAGCCAATTCACTGTTATCGCTTCCAGGACGAGCCTGTCGTTTCAAAGAATTTTCAAAGGCCTTCAAGCCACTCAAGATGACACTAAGCAACTCGAAAACGTTAACTTCACCATGCGTCCATGTCCGATAAGCGTAACAGTGTCTTATGAAAAAAAAATTAGTCTTTAGCTCATATGTACGATTTTTAACTCAGAAATCTCCGATTCATTGTCAAAAGAAAACAAAAACGAAAGGAAATCGCCTAGCAACGACAGAGCATCAAACTGAAACTTAAAGTTTATCCTTTTTTCAAAAATTATTGCTGTATGTTCTAAAAGAAAGTTTCACAAAGGTTTCGAGGCGAAAAGCCTTTTTTGTTTTGTTTTTAGAAGCCTTAAGAATCCTTATAAACCAATTCATGGTAATATTATAAAATAAAATGACTTGAACGGGATATGTGACTTTATTTTTTTCCTCATCACTTCTACGTGACATTTTACTGCTGATGCGAAAAATCTTAATCATCTCAAAATCCTTGACCTCGAACTGACGCCGCCGTCAAAATCAACACAAAAAAGCGTGGCTCAATAAGTTCTTGGCAAACAAAAATACATAAGAGGCCACTCAAATCGAGATTTTCATTCCACTCGAGATCACATCTTCGCCTTATACTATTCTCCGAATAAATATGAACAGGAGAAATGGAACACCACACTTCATTTTCGGAAAACATCTCATTACTAAAAACTAAAAAATGCCAAGTTGTAAACAGCTATGATTGGAGAGGGAATGCGATTCGATTTTTGCTTCCTTTTCGCGGAACGATCTCCGCCAAGGTCATATCTCCTTTTTGTAATCAGGAAATGAAAGAAAGTGGGCTCGAAGTTCCTTCAACAAAAACAGTTCATTAAATGAATGGAGTGAAAATCCCGATTTGCGGCCGAAATATGACAAATTTAAGGATTATTCAAAAAGGCAGCCCTTATGAAGTCGAAGAACATAAAAGGCATCGCAAAACAACTTTGAACACGACAAGAAAAATCAAAAAACAAAAAGAAAATGAAATGAAGATTTGAAAAACGTGAAATAAAAAAAAATGTCGTGACGCTGTGCCTGCGGACCACGCGCTGTGCAAACATCATAAATAATATACAGTAGCGCAACTCTGCAAAATAGTCCCATTTTAGGATAATTCCATCTTTTTTATTATCATTTTCAGCCTTGGAATAACAATAAAAAATGAAGAAAAAATTGAGAAGCCGATAGGGAATTTTTTTATGAGTCCAAAGGTTCCATAGGGCATTTTATGAGGCTTTTATGAGTTCAAGATGAATTTAAGCAAGGAGAGGCGAGACATAGAGAGAAAAAAAGAGAATAAAGCATGAGAATGGGTTTTCAACGTGATAAAATTAAGAAAAGGAGATTTTTTCCTCAAGAAGGCAAAGAACGAACAGAAAAAAAGTTGCGCCATATCGCTGTTCGGCTCAGTGAAAGTTTTGGCAAAGAGCGAGAGAAAGAGACGGAAAAAGAGAGAGAGGAAGGCGGGGAGCGCGACAGCTGAGACAAAATCGCCGCTGTCGACGACAAAATCCTCTCCGGCTACAGCACCTGGACCTTATATCTTCCAAGAGTAGTTGGAAAATCTTGCAAGCGGATTTCTGTGGCAAGAAGGGTCATTTCACTTTGCCGTCCTGAAATTTGGTCAGAACACTTTTTGATATACCAGAAAAATATCCTGAGAGTTCCAACCTGCAAAACTTTCTGATTTTTGAGAGAGAGCCCTTGAAAATCAAAGAAAATCTTAATGAAATGAGCTATTTGTGAATTTTGAGCCATCATTTCTCGAAAAATGGAAAGTTTTGCAGGCTAAGATTTTCATTATCTTTTCCTGGTACACCAATGAGTGTTCTGGCCAATTTTCGAAAAAATCCCAACTGAAAATCAAAACGACCTCATTGTGAGGAAGAGTCGATCGCAAGGCTTTGAAAAGACTTTTTTTGCTCAAAAAAAATCATTTTTGAAGAAAATAAAAAGGAATTCAGATTATGATTCGATGACAGATCTTTTGAACAACTTGATGACTTCACTAAATCGCAAAAAAGTAGTTTTTCAACATTTTTAGATCCGGGATGTATATCGGCATCTCAATTGCACAAATTTTGCCTTCTCTTTGTTAGAAAAAAAAATTAAGGTCCAAAAAGGCTGAGAAACCAGCAAAGAAGCTCAGAAAAAGGGTCTGTGAAACATTTTTTCCCTTCGAATTATTTTTGAATAATAATTTTTTTCAAAAAAACCTTTCAAAAAGTTGTCTGCCTGCTTTAAGAAATTTTTAGAGTCCAGAATAAAAAAATAATTTCAAACAACTGGAAAAATTTTTTTAGTGGTCACTATAGTAGTCAAATTAGTGGCCACTTAAGGGGTTAAAAATTAGTGGCCACCACTAGAGGTCTAAGTTCTACTACTAGACAACTAAAAACTTGAGTGGCCACTTTAGGAGTCCATGGATCAAAATAACTGGTCCAATCTATTTGTTTTGAAATTATCAGAGTTACTGGAAGGAATAATGGATGAAAAACTACTGACGTGGCCACTAAATGGAGAACCTCTATAGTGGCCACTAATACGAAAAGTTTAGTGGCCACTTTAGTGTCCTCTCCAAGTAGTCTTTGGCAAGCCTCTATAGTGGCCACTAAAAATTTTTCGGTGGTATGAAAAAATAACCAGCGAAAACTCAAACAGCGACTTTTCCGATTTTTTCATATCGCTAGGGAACTTTCCGACGGCCACCTTTCCGACGAATCTTTTTCCGCCTTTTTTTTCTAGAAGAAATTTTCGTTTTAAAACTTTCTATATAAAGTAGGTAGTTGGTTCATGATTAAAACACAAAGAAATAGGAAAAAAAATGCTTATAAATGTTTTATAAACCGAAAAAAATAAGGGAGAAAAGTCGGAAAGTTTTCCGTCGGAAAGGTGGCCGTCGGAAAGTTCCCTAGCGATATGAAAAAATCGGAAAAGCCGCCTTTTGAATTTTCGCTGATCTTTTTTTCATACCACCAATTTTTCCAGAGTAATATTAATAGTTTATTTATTGTCATTAAAGGCGAAGAAACCTCGAAATTGTTCAACTTGATCCCAAATATGTTCCGTATAAGGAAATATCAATAAGATATTTTTTTTTGTTAAAGAAAAAGGAAGGAGAAGGAAGTGAAAACACCCGGAAAGAGGGCGAAAAAAAATTGGAGGAAGAAAAAAACCTCTCAAAAACAGTTGTAATGGTGTCACGTGTCTTGTGGCTGGGGGATAAGTGGATCCGACAATTAAAGGAGAGAAAACAAGTGTTCCATTGAAGAAAGGTTCTCAAAACAAAAAAAAAGATAAAAAATGAAAAATGTTGTAAAATGTGACAAAAACTCCATCGAAAAAAAAATTCAAAAAATTCAGAAAAATAAATTTTCTTGTCATTTTAACGTGAGAAAAAAATAGCCATATCTATATTTTTTTCGTATTTTGTGACAAAAAAATCTCTAGCCTCAATTCTAGACATCTCAAAAGCCTTGAATGACGTCACTATTGCCTAATCCTGACGGCGATTGTGAAATTTTGCAAAACGGCCTCAAAATATAATTTTTCTTTTAGAAGAACCTATGATATTGACCAGCTTGAAAGTAATCGATTTGAGGAAACCGCGACGCAACCGCTACGCGTCTTATAACGTCATTTTTTGGAAAATGATTTCAGGTAGATGACGTCATCATTTTTAATTCTGACAAAAAATAAAAGCCATATTTCCTCAATAAGCCTCGACTAGAAAGGCTTTGGGCGCATGTGGAATGAGTCAAGCAGCAGTTTCAAACTTCCCCCGACTTAATACGACTTGCGCTAGATGACATCGGACAGCACAATAGGTAAAAAAAACTTTTTGTTTAATTTGATCAGCTGTTCAGTATTTTATTTCTGTGAGGAGACCGCGACGCAGCCGCTACGCGTCTCATGACGTCATTTTTTGGAAACTGTTCTTAGGCAAATGACGTCACCAATTTTAATATTGACAAAAAAAAACTATATTTTTGACTTAGACTTGAAACAGTAATCATATGTGGAATGGTGCAAGCAACAACCTTGAAGTGCGCCCGACTCAAAACGACTTGCGCTAGATGACAGCGGACAGCACAATAGGTAAAAAAAAACTTTTTGTTTAATTTGATCAGCTGTTCAATAATTGGTTTTGTAGGAAAACCGCTACGCATCTTATGACGTCATTTTTTGGAAACTGGTCTTAGGCAGATGACGTCACCACTTTTACTATTGACAAAAAAAATTATATTTTTGACTTAGACTTGAAACGGTGATCGCATGTAATGGCTCAAGCAATAACTTTGAATGGCGCCGCGCCCTACTCAAAACGACTAGCGCCAGATGACAACATACATCACTAACAATAACTCTAGCTTTAACCTCAACACGACCATAGAAATTTATCCATTACAAGTGCTGCCACCGCTTGGTATTTTGGAACAAATAAAGTATGAAGTTTAAAAAAATGGGTTAGAAAACCTCAGAAACCTTTTTCTGGGAAAATAATGGCGAAATTACTCAGAAGACGTCACTTATTCAGACGACGATTGTGGCCGGAAACTTTGGAGAAGAAAAGGAAGTCAGTGGGGAGCAAGGGGGGCCAAAAAAAAAGAACGAGAAGCGAGAGAAGGGACGTTCCCTTGCTCGTTTCGTCATCGCTTCTTTGAGGAAGAAAAAGCCGTCACACATTTGTTGGGGCTAGAGACCGAGAGGAGGATTCTTTGGTCGGGATGGGGCAACTTTTTCCGGTGAGGGGGAATTTGGCAAGTTTCAGGGTCGAAAAAAAGGGTTTTTTTGACATGAGTAACAGATAAATAAGTAATTAGGAAATTGAAAAAATCCTAATCAATAAATACGGTTACAGTAAGCTATAGCTATAGATTATTGGCTATAAGAAAAGCTAAGCGAGTCAAAAAAAAATGGTTGAAAAATTATAAATCTAGGCTTTTTACACGGCATTTTTGTAAGTGGAAGAAAATGCAAAACCAAAAAAACGGTGGGCGGAGCCAAAAATCCACCGTTCCCACGTGACGTCATGGGACCTAAAAGAAATAACAGG